TCAGCAGATACTCCTGGTGCTCTCTGCGCTCTTGTTTGCATCTCCATTGAGTTGAGACTTGCCTTTGGGTTCCCTCAGGGTCCCATCTTACAAAGCTGGGGATGTGCCTAGACACCTCAGTGATGGGAACCCTGTGTGATAGAGCATGGGCAAATCAAAAGCCTGCCAGCAAGAGTTTGGCCCATCTCCGTTGATTTGAGTGGCTTTGCTGAGCATCTTGCCCAGGGGCACAACATTTCGCACCCCATGGGTTGGGGTGGCCAGGCTGGGATAAGGCCATCTGTTGGGGGATAGTTCCTGAGGGGGGGGCAGGGCAGGGGGGATTTCCACAGCAGTATGGGGGATTATGCTGCCTTGGCACAAACATGACATTGAGCCAAATGGTCCATGTTCCATAGAGCAAACCCTTCTCGCTCATGTTGGTAAGTATGAGGCCTGACCATCATATGCTGTGGATGTGAACAGTCTCCCACCCTCTTTTTTCAGCGAGGTGTGGGGGAGCAGCTGGGGAGTGTTGTGGGCAGGGGTCTCCCCACCTCCTCTTCAGAGGGAGACATGGAGCAGGGGGCCCTGGAACTCAGGGTACTGGGGAAGGGGTGGGACACAGACCTACGGGATCCTGGAGTGGGTGCTCAGCCCAGGATAGGCGGGACCAGCCGTGGGCTCCGCACTGCCGTCTGTCTGCCTGTCTCTCACTAACTTTCTCTTCTTTTCTGTTCTCATAGAAGCTCTGCTCTTGTGTCTAACACTCTGGCTTCCTCTTTGCCCCAGGAACCAGGCCCGCCTCGACCTCCCCTTCCTAAGTCGTATGTACCCCTGGAGTCTCCTCCGACCGTCCCTCCGCTCCCTAGCGAGAGCCGCCTCTGGCCGTACCCTAGCTCCCCTTCCTGGCAGCACAGCAGCGAGGCCAAGCGGGGACAGGTATCAAAGCACCTCCAGAGCGGACTCGGGGTCTGGCAGTGAGCAGCAGCCTTCCCATTACCCCACTAGGAACCAGCAGCAGCAAGCAGGAGAGCCATGCAGCATAGCTGGGAGGGTAGAAAGCAGGGTTCGTGCCCCTCTCCCTCCAGCTGCAAGCACTGGAGGTGTGTGGGGAGTCAGCAGACATCTCGGGAGGACTGGCAGAGAGAGGCTTAGGGCCAGGGGTGTTCACAGTGATGGTGCACAGCCCAGCAGGCAATGTACATGGCATGTACTGGGCATTGGGGCATCCAGGTGCCAATGCCAAGGGCAGATGCAGTCCCCACCCTTTGCAAGGACATCATAGGAGCTCTTTGTCCCTTAGCTGCCCATGTGCCGGCAAGGCACTGAACTTCCCAAAGGACAAGGCGCTGACCTGGGCTTGGGAAGACCTGGGCTTTATTCCTGTCTCCACCCCTGACTCAGGAGCAAGTCACCCTCTCTCTCTGTACCTCAGTTTCCCCTCGTGTCAAAGGGGAAAACTAGTAACACCTACTCCTGAGACCAGTGCCTGTTGGAGCTTGCAACGAAAGAACAGTGCACTCAGTTGATAAACCTTTGCTTGGAGACCCCCTATCTCTTGTAGTGCCATTAAGCTAAATCGGGGTGCTGGATCCTCAGTGAAACTGTGAATCGCCCTTTGCACCAGCCTCATCTCAGTGCAGGGAAAGGGATCCCATGAGAGCCAGCTGCAGAGCTGCAACCATCAGGAGCCCACAGCTGGCAGGGAGGACAAGGGAGAGACCCTTCCTCCCCCTTTCTCCCATCATTGTGAGTCTTGTCTGTACGGAGGGAACACCACTGACCCTTCACATCCAAGTGAGAGGAACTCAGAGGTGTTTCTCCCCTTCGCTTGTCTGCTTTCTCTCTTGCTCTCTCTGCTCCACCTGGGATCATTCAGCTTCCAGTTTTTGTGGGCTGAAATGTGCTTTTGGGGCTCTGGAGCCCAACCCTGACCTTGCTTATGCTACTGTCACCCCACTGATTTCAGGAGTGTACAGAGGGAGGTGGGGGGTGCTGCCTGAGAGCAGTTTTGAGCCAGATTTTAGTGCCTAGACCACTAGGACCTGGACATCTGTGACTTTTAAACTCCTAGGGCCACATTTTCAACATGCACCCCCAACAGGTGCACAAAGTCTTGCAGCCAAGTGCCTAGTGATATGTACAAGAAGGATGTGCGCATGGAAAATAGTGCACATATGAAGCAGGGAATGGTTTTCATCTCCTACAAGGAGAGCCATGTGTCCTGCCAGGCCACATCTGTAATAAGCCTGCTGAGATCCCAGGTACTGTCAGACCAGCTGGTCCTGATCTGCGCTGGTCCCTCCTGTGCTGCTTTGGAGTTGGTGGGCCCCAGACACAAACTTGCCGCAGACTCAGCCTGGATAGTGCCCACCCTGAATCATGTGTTTTGAGCTTCCTTGGGTTGGGTGGTTTGGGCTGAAACCCAGGTGCTCTCTGGGTTGTCATTTCCTGGCTCTCTGGAGTTGTGTGCATCCATTTGTCCTTTCTGTGTCAGTGTGCACATTGTCCATTCATCCCCACGCCCCCTCCAGCGGATGACAGGGGTAGTTGTCCAATGGCAGGTCTCTTCAGCTCTCCTGCTGCCAGCCCCCTCCCCAGCCAGTCGCCCGCTCACCAGAATCCTCTTTCTCTCCATAGCCCAAGTTGAGCTATGAGCAGAGCAAGAAGGACGCTCACCGGACGGCCGTCTCCAGCGCACCCGTGGAGGGCCTGCTCCTGCAGACGAGGCAAGAGCAGGAGGCCGAGAAGCAAGCAGCTCTCAACAAAGGTACCAGCTGCAGGCCCTGTGAAGGTGGTGACACCTTTTCCCTGCCCAGCCTTTGGGCTGGAGGTGCCAGAGGGCCAAGGTCTTGGACATCCCCAGAAAAAGGAGGCACCTCTTTGACTTTGGAGCTAGGGGTCTCCCTTGCAGCTGTCAGGGCCCAGCAAAGGATCCTGCGAAAGGGCATGGGGTTAGGGCAGGTCATACCAGCAGCTCCTCCTGCCCCTCTGGGTATAAGCTCTGACATGCTGCCACAATTTCAGGAGCTGCAAGGCCCTTGGCGTGCCGAGGTGAGGCCCATCTTCAAGTCGCAATAGATTTTCTCCTTAGTGCCACCTCCTCCCCGTGTCAGCACATCATTCTCCCCACCCCATGGTGCATCTGATGCACGTGGCATGACTGGATTGGCCTGAACGTTGTGACAAACCATGAAAGCCCAGGACATGTGCGTTCTGCTCTGGGGTCTCTACCTTACTGGCTACATGACTGAGAGAGCATATGGCTTCCCTTTGCCCTGCCTCGTGGGCTTCTCTGTAGAAAGGGGCTAGAGGTATTGAGCCTTGTGCTGGTGCTGAGGGCTGTGTTCATTGATGTTTGCAAGAGATGCTTAGGGAAACGCTGCTCGCCTTCCCCATAGAGTCGATATATAAACATCTCCCCATCCCTGCAAACGCCCTCCCCCTCGCCCCCACTGCCAGGGGCAGGTTGTGCAGGGAAAGCGAAGGGCCACAAGCCAGGCAGGCAGCACATTTCCATATCCCTGGGTTCTGGAGAGCTCCTGCCTCACCCCAGCAGGGATGGGACCCTCAAGATGGGTCGGCAGCTGCTGTTTGGGGTCTCACAGCTGAGCATCCCTGTTTTCTGCTCCACCCCAGTTGGCATCGTTCCCCCGCGGACCAAATCCCCCACAGATGAGGACTCAGCACCCACGCTGGGTGTGGTGAGGAGGAGCAGCAGCAGCACGTCCAACGGGCTGAACTCCCGGGTACTGTGCACTGTGCATGTCTCTGCATGGGGTTTGGGAGTCTGGGCTGAGGCAGAAGGGTGTGGGGAGGTGGGAGCACACGTGGTGCTGGGGCTGGGCTGGTGGCAGAGGGACAAAGGTGAAGTCCCTGGAGGAGGAGGAAGAAGCCGTCTGGGCAGCAGGGGTCTGGTTGCAGCTGCTAGTTAGTTAAGAGCTTCCTTTGGCCTGCCTCGAATGCTGGGAGCTGCAGGGGGAGAGGAGCAGGGGCCAGATGTGCCCAGAGAGGCTCTGCTTAAATACTCTTTCCCTTCACCTCTGTTCTCTGTCACTGAGAGATATTGGTTGGGCTCCGGGGCCTGTGGGCTGAGCCAGTCTGGCATTGCCTGCACTCTTGTTCAGCTCTGTTGCAAATGCCTGAAGTGTCGCCACACATAGCAGCCTTCAGCTTCGCCAAGGCCCCTCAGTCCAGCCCCGCAGCTCCCTCAGCTGGTCCAGAGGTCATCAGAAGCAGAAGCAGCCGCTAACAAGCTGGCTTTGTGGCACAGAAAGCTTTCCCTTGTGGACTGAGTCGAGAACAGCAAGCTCATTGCATTAGGGACCAAAGCCTGATCTGAACTTCCTGCACGGGGAGTCTGTTCAGGACACCCGCGGGCATGTGCGTGACCCTGGGGTGCTATGGTTCTCCCCAGGAAAGGCCAAAGAGCGCCGTGTTCGCCAATGAGACCAAGACGAAGATGAGCGTGGAGGAGCAGATTGACCGCATGAAGCGCCACCAAAGCGGCTCCATGAAGGAGAAGCGTCGCAGCCTGCAGCTCCCGGCCAGCCAGACACCAGATGCCCCCAGCACGAAGGCTCCTGCCTCCTACAAAGTGGTATGCTTTTCCCGGGCTAGCACTGGGCATGGAGCCTTTGTCTTGTGTCCCACAGGCTGTTTGCAGAGCAGTGCCCCAAGCCCACTGGAGCCCAGACCCCACTGGCGCTCCCAGGCCACTTCCCCCCTCATGGGCCAGTCCCTGTTGTCTCTTCGTATAACAGAGACCTGGAGGCCACGATGGGAGCTGGCTGGTAGAGTGGACACAGCACTGGGCTCAGACTCAGGAACCTGGGGGTTCTCTTCCCAGCTGGGCCTGTGCAACTGAGCAGGTCCTTTTCCCCTCCCTGCTCCTCAGTTTTCCCTTCTGTAAAATGGAGCTGTCCTCTGCCAGGTGCCCAGAAATTCACCAATGAAGTGCTCTGCAAGACCTGGCTGGGAGTGGTCAGTTGTGGTAGGAGGTGGGGGAAGTAGAGTCTGTGGTGAGATGTATGGAGAGAGCTGATGAGGAAGGGGCCCATGGCCAGGTACCTGAAGCAGGCTAGGTTGGCAGGGAGATGGGGAAGAGCCTGCTTGGGTAAAATCAGGGGAGGGGTTTCTCCAGGACTGTCGTGCAAGGCCGGGGTGGATGGGTGAGAGGAGCAGCAGTGGTGAGGTTTCTGGAGAGGCTCCTCCAGCATTGTGAGCACTGAAGCCAACTGGGGTGCCACCCTGCCAGCCCCCCGGCCCTGAGTCAGCAGTGTGGTGGTGTGTTCCAGGTGCGCCGACACCGCAGCATCCACGAGGTAGACATCTCTGACCTGGAGGCAGCGTTGCGCTCCGAGGACTCGGGCAGGGTCTACGAGACACCGAGGGAGGAGATCGCCCGGCTGCGCAAGATGGAGCTGGAGCCGCAGCACTACGACGTGGACATAAACAAGGAGGTGAGACCCTGCTCCACTGGTGAGGGCCTGACAACACCCCCTCAGAGTGGCAGCGGAGGGAGGCACCAGAGGGATGCATGCGAGGAGAGAGCAGCCCTGCGAGACAGCACCTCCATGAGGACCTGGGCCTGGGCCGGTGGGAGGAGAGAGTGGTTCCTGGCTTGAAGGGACAGCTCCAATCCCATCTCTTAGGGCAGGGGCTGGGCAAAGAGGACTGCAGTGCAGGGCATGTCCTGGACATCCTGGGTGTTGTCCTGTTTTTGGCCCACAAAGAGGAGATGGAGGAGGAAGGGGTAGCAGAGCAGGAGCTGACCATGTCAAGAGGAGGGACTAGGCACCAGGCTCAGGACGGGTGCCCACTGCTGAGGCCAGGGTGCTCTGCCCCGCTCCGGCTACAGCCTCACTCAGTTACCACACTCGAATTAACTTGAGTCCCAGGACTCAGCACCTGCCTTTGCCTCGACCCAGCTTTCCACCCCGGACAAGGTGCTCATCCCAGAACGGTACATCGAACTGGAACCCGATGCTCCCCTGAGCCCTGAAGAGATGAAGGAGAAGCAGAAGAAAGTGGAACGGATAAAGACGCTCATTGCCAAATCCAGGTGAGGCTGCTGCTCTGGGCCCGTGTCAGCCTGGCTGTGCCCACCATGCCACCCACCTGCTAAGGGCACTGCTGGTTTGGCTGCCCTATGTTGCTTGCCTCCCTGTATCCATTCCTCACCTTACCACCCTGATTACCTATTCATTTGCCCAGTAGCTCCTGGCACTGCTTAGCCCTCCAGCCCTTGCCTGCCCACCTCTTCTGCTACCTCTTGTTGTTCCACCCATCAGTTCCCTGCATATGCTTGTCCTCCTCTGAGCATGGGGACGTCACTGTGGGGGGCAGCCACAGGGAGATAACGCCAGTCTCTCTCTCTGCAGCATGCAGAATGTGATTCCTCTGAGTGAGGGAGAGGTGGATGCACCCCAGGACACAGAGACTCAGCTCCAGGAGCAGGAGAAGAGGATAGAGATCTCCTGTGCCCTGGCTGCAGAGGCCTCCCGGCGGGGCCGCATGCTCTCTGGTAAGGTGCTCAGGTGGACATGAGCAGCAGTGACCCCATGAAAAATGGGGCACAGGAGAAATTCCTAGTCCCCAGGCCAGAGAGGTGCAAAAATAAAAGGCTGTGGAATTTCTGCCCATCGTGGCTTTACTGCTTCTCAGGGCAAGGCACAGAAGCTAGGGCTGAAGAGAAGGACCAGGGATAATGCCCTGGGGCAGGAGAGGAGGTACAGGGAGAGGCCTTTAAGAGTCAAGTAGATGAGTGCATGGGTCTGGATCCCCAGCTGATAGAGCCATGCTAATTTACAGACACTGAGACTCCAGCCTGTGCAGTAAGATTCATGCCAGAGCTTCCCCCATTGGACTTGGTGAAATCGTGCTCCTGCAAAATAGGGTTGGTGCCGGCTGGTTTGAGTGGGCCCGCATCTCCTCTCACTGCTCTGCCAGTGTGGACTGATGTCCCCAAAGCCCATTACACTGCCCTGGCATCAGAGCAGAGTCCGGCCCTTGTGTTTCACACTGCATGTGTCTGAAATGAGCCAGATCCTCAAACAGGATGCAGCCCGGTTAACTCTGATTGCTATGCACGGTGCTTGCATGGACTTCAGTGGGCATCAGGTGTGAACAGTCAAGGGGAGAGCACAGGCAGTGCGTGGGACCATGCTCTCTCTTATGCCAGGGAAGTGGCAGCGGGCCGGATTCAGCTACTCTGATCGAGTATAGTACCATGGAAGGTAACAAAGCTTTGCAGCTTGCATCAGCTGTGGACGTGGCCCACTGACATGCATGGGGTTTCTCCCGATTTACTCCAGCATGGATGAGAGGAGGATAGGCCCATGCCATATAACATAGTGTATGTGTCATTCCAGGATGGATGTATAGAGCCACTGTTTGACCTTTTGGAAACTGCAGACCTCCAGTGCTGTGAGGAGTACAAGAGCTTTAGTGCAACTGGCTTTAAAAAAGAGGCTGCGGGAACTTTACAAAAATGGTTTCCTCCCTTTTCTGTCACAACATTTTTCAGACCCCTAAGTTTTTCACTTCTCGCAAAGAAACTCCATCGCTTTCTTCGGTGAAGACCCTTTGACATGTGGTTGCCCCTGGTCTAGGAAATGCCTAAGTAGCAATTATAACAACAACCGTGGTGGCAGCCCCCCCTTGCCTGCACAGCACGCTGGGAAAGGCCACGCGGCAGAGTGGGCATGGTGCCCCGGGACTGCCGCCCTGCAGACAGGTGCCATGTGTCCTGTCCTTGCCTTAGTCCATGTGGACCATGTGCAGAGCTCACGTGTGCGTGCTTGGGGGGACTATTTGTCACTCTCTGTTGTTTCAGAGCATGCTTGCTTCCGGCCTCCCTTCCTTTTTTCAATCCCCAGCTCTGTCCCCTCCCCGCTTTCCCCTGGAGTCGTCCTCTGCACTGTGGCTGCAGTGTCATGCTTTTCATACCCTTTCTCCATTTCTCCTTTCCAGCTCAGTGTGCCACCCCGAGCCCTCCCACCTCCCCAGCTTCCCCGACACCACCGACCAACCCCCTCTCGTCTGAATCATCCCGGGTCGCCGACAGCAGCCATTTTATGCGTGTCTGAGCCATGAAGTAAGCACCTTTTCTATTGTACTTCATCTCACCCCTCTCCATTTTGGCCTCGTGGCAGGGGGAGCTTCTTACTCCAGAGACGTCTCTCCCCGGCTATCCATGCATTGCTTCTTGCCCGATTAACAGTCTCCTGTGCCATGTTAGTCCAGTCTCCTCCTGTGGAACAAGCGCAAGGGGTTTTAACCTTGGACCACCAAGGTGCCAGGGTCAAATTGAGGTAAACCAGCCTCGCTCCCCTGAGGCCAGCAAAGCCACTTTGCTGTTTTACATCAGTTGAGAATCTGGCCAGGTTGCTGTGGAGGGTCAAATGCCTGCTCCAGGAGCACAGAAGAAGAGCTAATGGTGTGAAGCTTGTCAGGAAAGATGTCTTTCTCAAAGCCCACTTGTTTCTGTCTACCCGCTGGGTCAGGAGTGGGTGGGCTTCGGGGCAGCTAAAGCTCCATTGCGGTCATCTAGACAGGCCACCCTTTTTCTCCACCTTCACCAGGCATTAAATCAAATACACCTGAGGTCACGGGCTAGGTTCTTCCTTGCTTGCATCCGGTGAAAAGTAGAAATGGCCCCAGAGACAAAAATTAGAGGAGAAATAGAGACTGTCAGGCATGAGAAATGCTACATCCCTCTCTGAGTGGTGCTGATTCTGTTTGCCTCATGAATAAACCCACATAAATCATGGGGAAATATGACCAGCGATCTGGATGTGGGATGTCGGCAGCTTCCAGAAGTCCTTTGCCCTCTAGGTAGCTGATTCCAGGCCTGTGTCTGGTGGCTGCGTGATGCCATACGTGAGCTGGGATTGATGGGCTTTGGTCTTGGTCCATCTTACGCACAGCACCAACCACACACAGCTGGCACTAATTGATCCCTCTTCAACACTGAGGCTAAGAACTAAATCGGTCACAGGGACGACATTCTCCTTTTGCTGCTAAGGAAAGGCAATCAGGATGAGGGCTGAAGCCTGTCAGTCGACTTTGTGTGTAGGAGAAGCCTGTGCTGTCCCAATTCTGGTGGCAGCCTCAGGCCCGTATCCTTCCCCAGCACTAAACTTGCTCCAAAACTTGTTCTTGTCTCTTCAACTATGTCAGGGGCCAATTACCAAACGAGGGGCTTTTCTGCCTGGACTTAGGTGTAGCTTCACCACAGCAGACTGCTAGTGCACACATGGCCCATGCCAGAGTGGTGTGTGCTGGTGCCAGGCTCCCCGGTTTGAATGAGCCTTAGTGGTGCTGATCGTACCATGCATCTGCTTACCCTGTTTGCATGAAGGGTTGAAGTGTTTCAGCCCCCCTCCCCAAGGGGACTATAATCAGGTCAGATCCTCAGTGGAGCCCAAGAGCTAACAAGGGTGTTGTATTGTGTTAAGCGGGGTGTTCCTGTCGGGGATCAGTTTTTGTGTGGCCCCACCCAGAGCAGGCAGGCCCAGTCTTGCACTCACTGTCTCTCCTCTCCTCCCTCCAGCACAAGCCCTGGCTGCTGTGAGCGCTGTGAAGTTCCACGGTGCCACGTTTTAATGCGTAAACACGTGCACCCCACCTCGACCACCAAACCTTTCCTCCGGCCATTGTACTGGTTCTCCCTGAGCCCCTTCCTCTACCGAATGCTGATGTCCGGACTGAGAAGCTGTGAGCTGGCACCTGCTGCCAAGGAGAGCATGGAGGAGGGGGCCTTACCTCAGGTCCAGTTCTCCCTGAACACTGGGCCTGTTGCACTGCAGGAAGAAGCACCATGGGCGGGCGGCCTGCCTGCTGGAGCTGGGTACCAAAGGGCACTGTGTAAATGGCTGCAGCTGCTGCCAGCCATTGGAGGGACAGACGTTGCAAGTGGAGCCAGTTGTGTTCTGGGAGATGCGCCTTCTTTACAGCAGGCGTGGGCTTTGCGTGTGCAGCTGCGTGACCGGGCTGTCATGCTGAGGAGGTGACACTAACCTGGAGGGCATGGGGTGCCCCTTCACTTTCCACTCTGAAACCCTCGTCTCCCAAATTTCCTCCCTGTGAGAAGCTTTGGTGTGGAGACCGAGCCATCGCTGCAGGTGGATAGCATTCCAGTGCTTTGCGGACCTCGGTGCCCCATCATTGCTCCATGTGCTCCCTTCCTGCCCTGCTGCCCTCTCCTGGCATGGCTTTCACCATCGCTAGTAGCCACCTTTCTCTGCACTCACGCTCACAAGCATCCATGGGAAGGAAGGGAACAGCAGGCATTCAGGATGGACAGATGGAAATGGCAGCAAAGGAAATAAAAAGCTCCCAGGCAGAAAACGGGAGTGGTGATGGGGACTACGAGGTGATGGGGATAGAGCTGTGTCTGTGAAACGCCAGTACGTCTCTTTCCAGGGTGAAGGGTGGCTCGGAACGGCAAGTCTGTGCAATGTATGTGGACATGTAGCAAGGGAATAGCGGAAAGATTGAAGGGATTGATTGAAGGGGCTAGAGCAGCCCGCGTGGCCTTGCTTAGTAGCCAGGCAAAGCCTTGATGTTGTCTGGGGCCAGCAGAGATCCTTTTGCAAGTAGAGATGAGGAGAAAGGGGAGATGGGCTTCAGGATTATTTCCTCCCTGAGCAGGCTCTGGCTCATACCAGCAGGTGCCTCTCACGGAGTTTGTGTTACTGCCGGCAAGGCTCATTTCTTGCACTTCTTTGGGGATGGGAGTGGGTGAGGGAGGAACTGGTACCAACACATACATGTGTACCCGCCCACACACACATGCACATGCACACCACGTAGTAACCTTGGCCTGCTGCAAGAGGCACGTAGCACTAGACTGGGCACACTTTGCTGTAATGTTGCCACGGCACCTGTCACATCGGTATCTGAGTGTCCCATTTCGTTCCGGATGGAACCGCTGGGGCATTTCCTTCTCTGACACCCACGCATCTCCTGCCCCAGGTTAAAAGATGTCCTTACTTAGCTGCTGACTTGGCAGGTGGTACGTCAGTGCTGTAGCTGTCTCTTCCCCTCATTCAGATAGCAGTACCTTGCTCCCAAATGGAGCAGAACCTGAGCTGTGAGGCCTGGAGGGAGCAAACCCTTTAACTTTGAGGTTGCAAGCCAGCATGAGATGGATGGGACTGGGAAGGTGATTCCTCCTGGAGTCAACTCATCTCTTCCTAGCCCATGGCTGAGATGCTTGCATCCCTCTGGGAGGCTCTGCTTTTGCAGCTGGGTGGCCCCTGGGGGCAATCCGGCGTGACCATCCTTACCTGGAGAGCAATCCTGCACTGGGGATGGCCTTGGAGGGACTCGATGGGTCTTTTTTGCCTGTGGCTCCCTGCTGTGTCACGTGTGAAGCAGTACATGGACACTGCCACCCCTAGCTCCCTGCACTAAGGTGGATAGACCCCTCACACCTACAGTTATAGGAGCTCCTCTGCCCTTTTGGAGTGACAGCTCATGGTGCTGACTCCCTGCTGCGCCTTCCCTGCTCCTATCAGAACCGATGGCATGAGCTCACTCCTCCAGATGTGACTTCATTATTCTCCTAATAAGTTGAGGATTAATCATTGATCTGGAGGCAGGGGCCAGGTCATAGCAGAGACTTACTCAGAGGCTCATTTCAGTTCAGATAAAGCATCTAGGAGGTGGTTGAAGCTCATCTGTGCTACCAAACCATCGGTGCCCATAGAACCAGACCTAGCGTCTCATGAGGACACGTGGTCTGATGCTCGAGCAGCATTCCCACTGCCAGCGGAAATCACTTGAAAAGGTCTCTCTAAACGTCCGCTCAGCTTACGCAGTGTTTGGGAGGATGACAGCTCTTTTTATGTTTCCAAGCAGACTTTCTTGCCCTTCTCAAACTTAGGGCTGCATGAACAGAGCAACTCTATCTGCTGCTTGGAGCGGGCTTTGCAAGGATTATGATCCCCACCATGACATGGATAGATGGATTTTCCGAGGCCTCTGACAGCCTGGCTGTTTCCTTCCAGCCATCAAAGGGAGCTGGGCTCTTTTGCAAAATCCAGCCCTATGTTACACCACGAGATAGGTCTAGTTTTATCCCAGCAGCATTCTTGCTCTCAAAATCTGGGTAGAAAAGGCAGGTTTTGCCTCGGAGCGTAGATTTCTATTCCAGTGATTTGACAGACGATGTTTTAAAAAATACCCACATCGGAAATTGAGGCCTCTGCTTCAACACTGAGAGTAATCTGGGCTGGAGATGATTTGGTTTTCCTGCTTCAGAATCTCATTTGTCACGAGAGAAACCGCAACATATGGCTGGGGTTGCATGCGAAATGGGCCAGTTTCAGGATACTCATCTGAACTGGAAAAGGCCAACGTCAAGGCTGCTTTGGTAACATATGTCGAGCCTTTCTCTCAAGAGCTCTGATTCCTCTCCTCTCATACACTTTCCAGGGTACTTTAAGTCAAAAGAGCCCTAAACTTATGAACTGTTGAGTCCTTGAGACTGGAGCTCTGTGTAGAAACCTTCTCTGTTGACCTGATCGCAGCTGGCCACCCGCAACTGAAGTGGAGTCCGTAGGAGACACGGGTGCCAACGCTCAGCGCTGATTGAGATGGCGTTTTCTTCCCTCCTACCCCAGCTGTGGAGGGAAAGCGGGCTGGCTGCTCACCATTCAAGCAGACGCTCCTTCCTGTCTGAGGAGCAGTTGTTCTAGCTTGGCAAGAGGCAGACCTTAAATGGAGCCTCCTGCCTGGGAGGGACCTCTCTGGCGTCTTCCTGGGGAGAGTTGCTTGTCTCTGTGTCATCTCCCCAGATAGTCTAGTCTCTGTTGGTCTTCTATAATTTTGGCAATACGCATAGCACCCCAGGAAAGAGGATCCCCCCCACTGCCCTGTTGAATCAGACCTAGGAATTTCTTTCCCTCTTCATTTTAGCAATACACAGAAACATCCCAGGGGAAAAAATAGTTCCGCTCCCCTCCTGGAGTCCCATACAGCCCCTGTTAGCTCATAAAGCTGGCCCTTTATTTTGCTATACATGCCTTAATATATGTTTTATGGAAATTATACATTTATATATAATATATATATTTGGTTTGTTTTTTTCTCTTCTTTTTTGGGCGGTACTGTTTTGTGCTAATTTTCTTTCTCTTTCAGCAGGGCTGTTCGAGTCGGCCCCGCCACTGAGTTACAAAAAGCAGATTCTTTTCCAGTTTATTAGAAAAAATATCCTATTTAAAAAAATATATATTTTCTGCTTTTATTAAAAGCAAATTTATTTAAAATAAAGTATAAAAACTGTAAGTTTGAAGAAACAATGCATTTATTTCCCTGTTGCTATGACAGTGCTCTGTGCAGGGCCAGATTCTCAGCAGACGTAAATCGGTGTAGGGGATGTTGCAATCTGATTGACGAGGGCTGGAAGTCTGGCCACTAGGCGCAGGTTATGAAGACGTGTAGGATTGTACCATATCGGGCACCACCCAAGGGACCTCGCTGGTACGTGGTATCAGGAGGAGATCCTTGCTATGTATGTGGGTTTTTTTAATCTTTAATTTAAATGCTCCATTTGCCCCTCACGTGTATTCTTGTGAATGGGTTTTCTGTCATGATGTGAATAGAGCAGCAGCTCTACAGGCTCCTGGACTGCAGTCCCTGGGATACCACTAGCCCAGCTGCCCCCCTCACCCCCACACTCCCCAAGCATGTACGCAAGGGTGCGTGCACCTTTTCTTGCTGCAAGCGTATTCCCAGAGATGAAAGGTGGTGGCTGAACTGAGAGATGCTGCCAAGCCTGGGAGCTCAGCTGAAGCAGGAGAGCTCCACTGGGGCTGTGTCCAGAGCTGGATCCAGGACCCCTGAAGTCAATGGAAAGGCTTCCACTGTCATGGTTGGTGCCTGAGATCATGTTGGCATTGCCAGGCCAGTGCCAGCCCCACAGTGAGCTTCTCCTTGGCTCTTGGCTCAGTCCCATCTCCCATCCTTGAGGGCTTGCTAACTCTAGCATCATCCCAGCACAGTGCCTGGGGGAAGGGGTCTTGTGCATTCAGAGGAAGGGGTGGGGGATGAAGACAATCCCACTCTTCAGCACCCTTAAAAGGGTTTCCCATGAAGAGCTCCAAGGTCACGGGGACAGCACGGGCACCTCCCACTCAATGAATGACCATGTTGAGTCTGTGACCAATCACTACTATTGTCACTTTAAGAGTTTCCAAGGTTACAAGCTGGGAGCTTGCAATAAAGTGGGTTCCAATCACCATATTGCAGTATTGTGGAACTGGGGGGGGTGTTATTATTATTATTATTATTATTATTGTTATTATTTTAATGTTTAATTTTATTTCGTTTTGGTTTGGTTTTTTTTTCATAACACCATCATATACCAGCAACTCTTGTAATCGAGAAAAACTATTTGCATTGAAAAAAGAAATCTATTTATGCACATTAATATTGGGGGGGAGGGAGGGGAAGTGGGCAAAAACTTGATTTTTGCTAGTGTTAGACAAATAAAACTCTCCAAGAAACCATGCAGTGTCAGTGTCTTTCTTTTTGTATGAAAGCGACCTTAGATGACAATGATTTGAATGGTAAATCAAAAAGACTGTGATCAGACAGCTGTAGCTTTTCAGCGGCTTTAAATCTTCCAATCAGAAAAAGGGGATATAATCTTAACCCATAATGAAACCTGTGGTAGTTCGCTTAATTTTCTTTTTAATTTTCCCGGTGGCATTTGTTTTAGATGTAGCTACTAAATGGTTGAATCTCACACCAGGGAAAAAAAATGCATTTGTACCTTGCAAGTTTGTATAAAACGAATAAATAAAAATCAATGGTTTGTTAACAGACGAGTGGTGGAGCTTTCCTTTCTTGCAATTTTGCCTAAGATGCAAACTTTTCTTTCAGTTTTGCCTATGATGCCGGCGCTCTGGGCATTGAAAATATTTGGGGTTCTGATTTTCTCCAGGTACTGAGCACCTGCATCTCTTCCAGCTGCCAACTGGAGGTGTAGATCCTTTATTATGTCTTGCACTGCATTTTATTTTTCATTGTTCTTCCCTGTTTTGAGGTGCTTATGCACACAGCCGTTTGGGTTGAAATGGTTCCTGTTGGGAGTCTGTCCATAACTACTTTGAAAGTTTTCGCTAAAATAAGAGAATGACACTAGGGAGGAAAAACATGTATTAAAAAAAATCTTATCCTCGTTTCAATTAAGACCTCCACTGCTTCTCGACTTGGAGAAGGGATTTGAAGTTTGAGGGTGAAGAAGCTGGTGGGATCAAGAACATGTGTTTTACCATCCTCGTGAAAAGTTGCACAAATGTGGCTAATTACGAGCTTCTGTAAAATGTTGGCTCCCCATGCTCAGTAGAAACTGGTTCATTTGGCAGCTACATGCTCCAAAGAGGGGCCCTCTAGAAAAACCATGATGAAAGCCTGTATCGTCACCAGAGTTTCAATTGAGGTTGCACAAGCAACCAACAGTCAGGCACATGCTTGTCTCTGCAGCCCAACTGTTCTTGAAGTGCTGTGTTTGTATGTAATAGCAGGATGCAGGCCCAGATCCTGCTTCTGCTTAACACAAGGCAGTGTGGCCTAGTGGGGAGAGAATCAGACCGGAAGCCAGGCCATCTTGGTCCTCTTTCCAGTTCTGCCGCCACCCTGCTCTGTGACAGCGAGCAGTTCTCTTCCCTTCCCTATGGTTTTTGTCTCCTGCTTGGATGATGCTTCTGCATGTGCGTGATGTCCAGGTAAGTGCACTCTGTTAGAGCAAAGCAGGAATATCACTAATGGCAGCCCTTGTTATTATTCAAGCACAGTCCAGACTTGCTGTGGTCTATATTGCAGCTGCATAGCAGCTTGATAGTAAAGAGCCTCCCTGATCGTGTAGCCAAGGCATCACCCAAAATGTTTAGCTTTAGAGTGCAGCCTGGTCTGTACTGTGATCCCAGCTGTACCAATGTAAATGGGAGAACTACCTCCTTTGGGTTCAGGGGAGTTGCCTTGGCTTTATACTGGCGTAGCTCAGATCCCAAACTACTCCACCCTGTTTGTGGCAGGTGAGAGATGGGAAAAACAGGCAGCTGAAGGAAGGACTGGATTTTGTGCAAGCCTGCAGCTTTAAGCAAGTGAGTTTGCTTCACCTGTGCATCTAAGTGCTTTTCTACTGTAGATGAGAGAGGAGCTTCCTTGCAAGGGCAGCAGATCTAGATGGAGGGCAGCAAAACCAAACCAAATCTGAGGGTCACATTCATCCCCCAAAGGGTGCTGCTGAACGTGGAGGTGGAAGGGCAGAAACTGCCCCCCAGAAAGATGATCGTGACCATGTCTGAATAGCAAACACACCTGCTTGTTTCTGGAGCTGCCTGTGAAGGTTCTGCAGACGAAGACGGAAGAGGAGGTGAGGCCAAGGGATGGCTCATCTCTGACCCACAACCCAGCCCGCGCACAAAGGCTCTGCACCCATTCATGAATCAGGTGGTCGGCGCATAGGAGTATCTCCAGGCATCAGATGCAGGCAACAGATGCTCTGGGCAGTGTAATTAGCCCAGCACAATGAAGCTCCTCTGCTTGCCGCTTGCACAAAGGGTTTGTCTCTGGAATGTCTGAGCAAGTCATAGAAGAAAAGAGCATCTGGCCGCATCTGCCACAAGGTAGGGTTTAATCGGGCATGACGATGGGTGAGGTAGTTATTGTTCCCGTCTGACCCATAGGTAACAGGGTTGGGCCTTTGCAGTGGGCCAGGTTGGATGTAAAAGAAAAGTTACTCACTGCCTGTTGGCTGGGGTGGGATCTCTCCTTGTGTGTTGTTTGTAAAATGGACCTTAAGCAAGTTGGTGAAGCTAGGCCATTTTTTCTGGTACTATACCTAGCACCAAATACATGACTGGGCTCCTAGGCACCACCTCCACATAGATCATAAATAAGGAGACAAAGCAGGGGAGAATCAGGTGGTCCCGCTTCACCAGATTCCTCCTGGTTCTCACTGCTGTGAGTGCAACTACAATTGGGCCCTTTTATAGGGGAGACTGGGGTTGAAAATAGGGAGCCCTGAGCCCTTGGAACAACACGGTGCCCTTGACACAGTTAGCAGGACCTTGTGGTTCAGGCCGTCTTTGTGAGGCCTAGTGTAAGTGCTTTCCAGCCTGTGCTGGATTCACCTGGAGGTGCTGAGCTCCCTGTTAGATGCTGTACCAACCTTACTGCCCCTGCCAGGAGGTTAATGATTTGCAGGATGACGTGGAGGTGAAAGGCCTTTCCAAGGGTCACAACTTGCACACCCGCCCCAGGCCGGGACAGGGAAGATGGTGTCTCTCACGGATTTCCAGAGTAAGTAAAGGATGCAGCCTCTGCTGGGGTTACTTTTTAATGATGCCCTGGTGACCAGGGGGAACAGCTTCCATCAGAGACAGGGGCCTGATCTGCTCCACGAGGCATGTGAAGCCGTGACTTCCAGTGCAGGGCTGGACCAGGGGCAGCTGGGCTGGACCAGAGGCAGCTGTGCTGGCTGCTTTCACTGGAAGCATCAAGAGTAGGGAACTTGTGTCTTGCCTCTGCCCAAAAGGTGTGAGGCTGGCACTCTGTGGGCTCCCTGAAGGGCATTTGACACAGAGTCAAGCACTAATTTCACTGCTTTCCACAACAATAACTCAGCACCACTGGCAACATCTGGGTCTAGGTTTGCTACATGGGGTGTGTATGGGGGGAAGGAGACAGCAGGTCAAGGGTAAGAGGCATTTCTAGGACTTGGCTGCAGAGGGCAAGCCCTGGATTGGACTGTGGGAGGGGCTGTGGGGAGGGGGAAGGGCATTAGTAGAGCTGTGTGGGGTGGGGAGGGCAGTAGGGCAGCCCAGGGTTGCTGCTGCATAGGGGCTGCAGGTCAGGACTGAGATGCTTGGGGAAAGCTGGGGGTGTGGGTGCACTGAGTCCAGAGCTAAGACAGCAGAGAGGCTACAAGACAGGATTATAGGACACCGGTAGAGCTGTGTGGCCTGGGCAGATCATGAGGGCAGAAGGTTTGCAAGCCAGGCCTGAGATGCTTGGCTGAGCTGGGAGCCTGGGGAGTCTGCTGAGTGCCGGCCTCCCATCACCCCACCTGAGCACCAAACTCGTGGCAGAGAGCAATGATGAGTGAAAGGCCGCTGTGAGCAGCCAGCCTTCCCTGCCCTGCTCAGGCCTCTCTGAGTTACTGCTCAGGTCGTCCGGTGGGCTTCTCATTCCTCTGAACCCGTGAGACATCCCATCCTCTGCTGCAGTTTGGCTGGTAGATACAGTGGATAGCACTGAGGTTGTGATCCAAACCCCTTTCAAAACAATCCACCAGTATGAGGTGGGTGAGGATTAGGATACAAATGAGATGGAAACTATTCAGAAAGGCCCTATTAAATCATTCCAATGGTTTTTCAACCAGTTGAACTTCAGACCAACTCTTTTTCCTCCCTTGGATATCAAGCGACCAAGGCATTTGCGAGGTGTGCTGCCAGCAGGGTGGAGGGCAACCACCTAGGATAGCATGGATAGTGAGAAAGGGTACATAGATAGTGGGAAAGGGTGACCAAGCCATGCAGCGAGGAGGCAGGGATGCGGTGAGGAACCTTAGGCCAGGTGTGGTGACCTGGGATAGTACTGGGTAGGGCTTTCTTCACAGCAAGCGGGCTGTCTTTGTGGTCTGCCATGCCCTTAACCTCAGCCCCTCTGCCTCTTGCAGGGATCGGTGTGGGAATCGTGGGTTTTGGCCTATTTTTCATCCTTTTTGGGGTGCTCCTGTACTTTGACTCGGTTCTTATGGCCTTTGGAAATGTAAGTAGCTTGAACCCTCGCTTCCCTGCTGCTCCCCGAGGGCCAGGATGGAAAATTACAGCCCAGGGACCTTCTATCCCAGTTGCTGCTTACGTTGAGGGAGCAGTGCCAACCCCCTAGTCAGATGGGGCTAGCTGGTCAGTGCAAACCCTGCTTGGGGCTGTGCAGATGAATTCACAGGGGTCAGGCCAGGTGCTGAGAGGTGTCCTCCCCTCTGCCCTCACCCCCACAGCAGGTGCCAATTGGCTCCTTGGCAGACAAGTTCAAAAGAGAAGCCATGGTTCAAGCCACATGGCAAATGAGCTATATTCCCCCAGAAGTGTTGATGCCTCCAGGCCAGGCTTGAAACCCTTGGTATTCTAGCATTTATTATAACCAAGGGGATTTTACTCCATCCTCCTGTACCTTCTGAATATCCGTTCCATGGGCTTAGGCAAGAAAATATAAACCTGTTTCCCTGCTGAGTTAGGGTGCGCTTCTGGGATTGCTGCTGCAGAACAAAGCCTCTGGTGACTTACGTGTCTGACCCATGGTGTTGGTTGTATGGGTGCCAGCAGCAGACAGGGAGAATGCCACTGTGTTTGCAGGGGTTGTCCAGGGTGGCTGATGGGGCATGGAAGCACCAGCAACTCGCCCATGGGAAGGGAGGATGAAGGGAGCGCGCAGAGCTGATCTCTTTGAACCCACCCCCTTCACACCCATTTCCTCCTGCACAGATCCTCTTGCTTTCTGGCTTAGTCTTTATCATCGGGTTCAGAAGGACTTTCAGCTTCTTCTTCCAGAGGGAAAAGCTGAAGGGCACCAGCTTCTTCCTCGGGGGCATCATCATTGTCCTCCTGAGGTGGCCTCTTCTTGGCATGGTGCTGGAGGCCTACGGCTTCATTAGCCTCTTCAGGTAAGTAATTCTCTCAGTGCATTTCATTTCAATTTAAGGTTAGCTGGTCTTGGGTGAGAGAGAGCACTCCATGGATCTGGGCTGTGCGGGCTGTACAATGAAACCCCATTCCCCTTGGAAGCCCCTCAGCCGGCATCTTCGTCCAAAGCTT